ATTATATGCTCCCAAGCCAAAGAGGTAACTCGTGGTTGCTGTGAAGCGAACACTGTGACACTGATGAGTCAAATGTGAGAATGGTTACTCATGGTGGACAGTGTTTGGTGAAGCTCCCCAATTAAAACAAGTTTGGAAACAGGAGTGTCATCCACTTCCACAATAGCTTGCCTCCGGAAACCGTATGAACCTGGAGAAGGGACGAGAGTTATACAGGGGGTGTCCAGGACTTTTGTTCATAGGATCGCTATGAGTTGCCTGTGACTCGATGGCACTTAACAACATTATATTATGTTATATTTTATTGTATTATATTATGTTATGTTACGTTACGTTACATTATGTTATATTATCCAGCTCTTGTATGTGTATGTAGTAATTTTAAATATCATAGCTTGGGACAGGTGCAACTTACATTTTAAAGTTGCAACTTTGTTCTTTAACAATTCAAAGAGATTTTGCAGCAAAACAGTTCACTGCTGTATGATGCATGCTTTCTTGATTGCTGCTTCCCAGGGTGTTGGTTTTGGATCTTTCTAAAACTAAATCTTTGAAACTTCAATCTATTCTTTATGTATCACAATATTGATTCAGGTGTGAGGATTTTTATTTTCTTGATGTTGACCTGTAATCTATACTGAAGCCTGTAGTCTTTGATCTTGGTCAGTAACTGCTTTGAGACCTCTTCACTTTCAGCAAATAGGTTGTACCAACTGCATATTATAGGCTGTTACTGGGTCTTCCTTCAATCTTAACGACACATTCTTTACACAGTCCAATTTCTTGAATTATTTTCTCAACATAGAGATCAAACAGGTTTGGATAAAGGATAGTAATCTGATGCATACTTTTCTGATTTGAAATCATACAGCATCCCCTTGCTCTAACTTTCTCTGAGTCTATGTACAGAGTCCAGCACAATTAAGTGTTCTGGAATTCCTGTTCTTTGAATGTTATCCATAGTTATGATTGTTATGAGTCACACATTTCAATGTCTTTGAATAGTCAAGAAAACAAATGTAAATATATTTAAAAAGTCAGTGTCAGGGAGACAAATATGAAGGAAAAGAAATTCTCTTGAGGAGAATGATATCTTCAATCTTTTACTATTGCAATCTATTACTTTCTGTAATAGATAGTAAGAACAAGCAGAATTTGTGTTATTTCTGGGAGACTAATGTCATAAATGTTTGAGTGAAAACACCTTTCCTTTCATCTTCTAAGTCTATATTCACCTACTACTGTCAAGTTGATTTAAACTCACAGTGATACTATTGGACAATGTAGAACCAGCCCAGCATTTTCAAGGTTGCAATCTCTACAGCTCTAGTAGCCAAGTAGGTAAGAAGTTGCACTGCTAACCCAATAGTGGTGTCTCAGTGGTGGTTCAATCCATCATAGGCTGGGAAAAAAATGGACAATCTCATTCTGAGTTATTTATAGCCTTTGAAAATCCATGAAAGGGTCAGCTTTGAGTTGGTTCCAACTTAATGATAATAAACTTTTGTTCATTTGTTTTTAATCTTTATAGAAGAAGACTATTTATCTCTTTCCCGTGGGTTAGCTACTGCATTTGAAACACTGAGGTTTTGGTTAGCAGTCTAGCACTTAACCAATGTGGTACTAAGACTCTTTTTTTAATCTATAGTCCTTGGAATACAGCAAGTATTAAAACATACTTATTAACTGAATTAATATCAATAAAAAGACTTAAACAATAAAAAGAGCAAAACAAGCAAGGGGGTATAGCTTATCTTAGACTACAATTCCAAGAAATAATAACAGTCCACTTCAGATTCCTAACTACCAAGGTTTTCCACTAAGAATTAGGCAGTTTAAATCTATTTTATTTCTTTTGTAAAATGTTATATCACATGAATATATGCTAAGAACAAGAAAGTGAACTAGGAGATCTGTTCTTTAAAGCATTCTCTCTTTTTTGTTTTTATTTAAATTATTTTGTTTATACTGGTTTACTTACAAAGCTTATATACATTATTTTTCACACTGGATCTTTTCCATTTCCTTTACCAACCCTCCATAAAGGAGGGTAATGAAGTAGAAAGGGAAGGTATTGTAAAGGTATTACCAGCTGTATTTCTTCAGCAGACAATACGAGACCCATATAACTATTTCTTCATTAATTGAGAAATATACCAAATTCAGAATTTATGGGGAAAAATGCTGCCTTGACTGTGAAAATAGTTTCTTTTGAAGACAAAATAAAATTTTAGAAAATAGTTTGATAAAATACATGATGACAAATTTACATAACCAGAAATGGCAATATAATAATAACAAGAATAATTAATAATAAAATGGGTTGTTAGTACATGACATTGGCATTAATCTGAGGAGCTTTGGCTAGAGTCAATGAGCAAGGAAAAATGTACACTATAACCAATATACTGAGGCTATAAAAAAATGGATCAAGAAAAGCCAAAACTGGCAGGTTACACAAAGAAGGGTAAGTATGTATGGCAAAATTGGAAACCACACAGAAGAACCAAAGAGTAAAGAATCAATGGGCAGAATCAAAAAGGTCCAGTGTAGGGGTTTGTGAGCATAAACCAAATATTTTATCAGTATTTAAAGAATGATCTTCTGGGCTGGCTTGAATAGCTGTTCCACAACTACTTAGAGCTCACTAATCACTATTGAAATGGTTTTAAGCATGTGTCATTAAACCTCTATCTTTTATGTAATACATTACTAAGGTGTGGAGGCAATCCAACAAAACAAATAACATCAGGACGGGTGAAAATACTCACGTTCCACAAAGTACGAACTGGCATCAATCTTCCAAATGATCTGACCCCGATGAGCCCCATTGACTCCACGGTTCTTATAATCCAGAAAATTTTCAGATAGAACTTCATCTATATTTAGAGAGGGGGGACATGGACATGAGAAATTTCCCAGTCGATAACATGTTTCATTTATAAAAAGAAAGAAAGAAATGCTATCACTAGCTAAATAGAAGAATGAAGCATCTTGAATCAGCATTCTTCACATACCACGTGGATCAACTCTCTTTCAATTCAGAAATCTCATCTCCATCCTGTGAAACCTCAGGGGGAAAGGCCACCTAACTAGTTCAACTTTTCCAAACTCAAGACCAAACTTGAGTTCAGTCAGTTCTAATTCACAGTAGCCTTATGTTTACTGACCAATAGGGTTTTCCTGGCTCTAATCTTTATGGAAGATTTCAGGCCTTTCTTTTAGCAGAACTATTAAGTAGATTTGAATTGCCAACCTTAGATGAGTAGCTAAGTGCAAGCCATTTGTGTTAGTTCTTACATATCTTAAATTTCAATGTTAAAGTCTTCTACCTAAAGCTTCTATCATCTTATTCCTATTCATAATTCAGATAAGACAGAAATAAAATAAAAAAAAACCACATTTTCTATTAGAACACAATTCACAAGGATTCCTACGGCAAGTAAACACAAAGAAGGAGTAACTATGGCAAAGATGGATACCATACAAAAGAGTCATGGAGTGAAGATTCAATAGGCAAGAGCCAAAAGGCCATGTCTAGGGGTTTAGAAGCTAGTCTAGGCACTCTATCATTATTATTCTGCATATGAGACTAATTCCTATATTCAGAGACTTGTGCATTTATTTAAAAAGATCTTACTCTTATATGTAAGAACAGCACTGTCAGGGATCTGTCACTTCCCTGAGTCTTTGTCTGCTCAGGCAGTAATAACTCCCTCCCAACCAGACCCAGAACTACCAACATTTGGGAACTGCACTGTTAGGAATTTAAGACTTCCATGACCTCTGTCTGCTCAGGTGGGAATAACTCCCTCCCAACTAGCCCCAGGGGAGAAGACAGGTATATGGCCATTAGCAACTACCAAGACAGGAGAACTGCACTGGTGGAAACTTGTGTGAACCTTTGTCTGTTCAAGTGAGAATAACTCCCTCCCAACCAACCAGGGGAGAGGGGACAGGTACATGGCCATTAACACTTATTGAGATGAGTGTTGCAATGCTGGAATTTTGAAACTTTCCTGGACCTTTCCCTGAGAAATATATCCCAGGTAGCACTCTTGGTACTTTGCCTCCCCTGGGGGAAGCCACTACTCATCAAACTACATGAAAGGATAGAAAAGAAGGCCCAATGAAGCACAGATAGACATTCTTCTGGTATTCTTTGCTTTCTGCCAAGATCCATCTAACATTGGTTATAATATCCCTAGTACCATGACCTCTTCTAAATCCAGCCAGCATATCTGGCAGTTCTCTCTTGACATATTGTTCCAAACGTTTTTTGGATAATTTTCAGCAGAATCTTGCTTGCATGTGATATTAATGATATTGTTCGATAGTTTCCACACTCTGTTGGGTCACCTTTCTTTGGAATGGGAACAAATATTGATCTTTTCCAATCAGTCGGCCAGCTGGCCATCCTCCAGATTTCTTGGCACAACTTAGTTAGCAAATCCAAGGCAGTGTCTGTTTATTGAAATATGTCAATTGGTGTGCTGTCAACTCCTGGAGCCTTGTTTTTGCCAATTCCTTCAGAGCAATTTGAACTTCCTCATTCATCACCATAGGCTCTTGCTCATATGTGATTTCATTAAATTCTTCTGTGTCAGCCAATTCCTTCTGATACAGTGACTCTGTGTACTCCTTCCATCTTCTCTTAATACTTTCTGGTTCATTTAACATTCTACCCAAAGTATCTTTAAGTATTGCCATCCGTGGCTTGAATTTGTTTTTCCAATCCTTCAGCAAAAGAAACGCTGAATGAGTTCAGCCTTTTTTTATTTTCTGACTCCAGCTCACTGCACATTTCATTATAGAGACACTACATGGTTCAAAATCAAGAAGGGGTTCCGTCAGGGATGTATTCTGTCTCCATACCTTTTCAATATGTATGCAGAACAGATCTTCCTAGACACAGGGCTGTACGAGGAGGAATGTGGCATCAGAATTTGTGGAAGAGTCATAAACAACCTGTGTTATGCAGATGACACAACCCTTATTGCTGAAACTGAGGAGGACCTGAAGCACTTGCTGCAGAAGGTCAAGGACTGCAGCCTCTCATATGGATTGAAGCTCAACATCAAGAAAACAAAGATTCTCACTACTGGGCCAATTGGCAGCATCAGTATGGATGGTGAAGAGATTGAGATAGTTAACAGTTTTAGTTTACTTGGTTCCACAATCAACACTCTTGGTAACAGCAGCCAGGAAATCAAGGACGAACTGCATTGGGAAAGTCAGTTGTGAGGGACCTCTCAAGAGTACTGAAGACCAACGATATCAGGCTAGAGACTAAGGTGCTCCTGATCCGGGCGATAGTCTTCACAATTACTTGCTATGTATCAGAGATTTGGACAGTGAATAGGTATGATAGAAAGAGAATTGATGCCTTTGAGCTGTGGTGCTGGAGAAGAGTGTTGAATATACCATGGACTGCTAGGAGAACGAACAGGTTTTTCCTGGAGATAGTGAAGCCGGAATGCTCCTTGAAGTCAAGGATTCTGAAGCTTCGTGTGACATACTTTGGGCATGTTGCAAGGAGGGACTGGTCCTCGGAGAGGGACATCATGTTTGGCAGAGTGGAGGGGTGGCACAGGAGAGGAAGACCTTCGATGAGATGGATTGATTCTGTGACTGGAGTGGTGGGAATTTGTGCATTTGAGATAGCTAGGTTGGCAGAGGATAGAGTGGCATTTAGGGCTCTTGTACATAGGGTCGCTATGAGTCGCAAGTGACTCGATAGCACATAACAACAACAACAATAACATGAAAAGCTATCCTAAATTTTTAAATCTAAAAAAAATTTAAAAAATAAAATAAAATTTTTAAATCTAGAGGAAATTCATAAATTGCTAGAAATCCAAATTCTACCCAGGTTAACATGTACAGATATAGAAGACAAACAGATCCTTCACACAAAAAAAGATATTAAACAGGGTACTAACCCTCCTGCCCCCGTCAAAAAGCCTTGAGCCAAATGCCTTCCCAGATGAATTCTACAAAACATTTAGAGATGAATTATCACAAATTCTACATAAATTAGCTGAAAAATAGGGAGAAAAAAGAAACTATAGTCTTCAACTGAAGATCAACATCAAGAAAACAAAGATTCTCACTAACGGTCCAAACAGCAGCTTCAGCTTGCTTGGTACCATAATCAACACTTGTGAAATCAGCAGTCAAGAAATAAAAAGATGAATTGTATTGGGAAAGTCTGAAGTCGGGGACCTCTCTAGAGTATTGAAGAGCAACAATGTCAGTCTAGAGACTAAGGTGCACCTGATTTAGGCCATGGCTTTCACAACTACTTGCCATGCATCCGAGAACTGGACAATAGCTAAGGATGATAGAAAAAAATATCAATGCCTTTGAGTTGTGGTGCTGGAGAAGAGTGTTAAATATACTGTAGACTGCCAGAAAAACAATCAGGTCTGACGTAGATAAGGTGAAACCAGGTTGCTCCCTGGAGGCAAGGATTTTGAGGCTCTGTCTCACATACATTTGGCATGTGGCCAGGAGGGACCAGTCCTTGGAGAGGGACTTGGAAGATGCTTGGAAGAGCGGAAGAGCTGTGCAAGAAATGAAGACCCAGGATGAGATGGATTGATTAAATGACTGAAGAAATGAGATTAAGTCTGTCAGAGATATTGGCTCAGGATAGGGCAAAATTCAGAGCTAAAGTACATAGAGTCACTAGGGTTGTAGGCAACTCGATGGCATGTAACAACAGTAACAACAATATGGGATAAATAAGCTTGCAAATATATCCAGAAATGTACAGTCAGGGGAAGATAAAATTGACAAATGAGACGTAAAAATCAAGCCCCTGTGTGCATCAAATAGATCTACATATTCAATGCAATCCTGGTACAGATACCAAAATATTTCTTTCAGAGAGGTAGAAAAGGCAATTGGCATGATTATTTGGAAAGGTATTTATAAAGAATAAAGATACAAGAGAATCAGAATATATATGTGAAATCAACTAATATGGGAAAAAAGAATATGTATGACTATCACAATAAGATGAAACTATTATATATACATATACATATGTGTATACATAGTTGTACACTCATACATGTGTAAATATATATACACCTAAACATGCCTCCAGAAATTCTTTGAACTTTGATAAATGTTGATTTCAGGCCTTTTGTTCATAAAGTTGCTGAGTCGTGCTCGACTTGATGGCAATTAACAACAACAATTACAAGAGCAATAAGTAGACACAGAGAATGATACAAGATAAAGAAATAACTAATCTTGTTCATAATATAGAACACACAATTATATGATCACACACAAAATATTTACAAGAATTGAGCATCTATAGGTCACACAAAAACATGCTAAACTGGACAAGAAGGTCATCGCAACGAAGGTTTTGGGAATAGTAAAATGTTTCAATGTAAGGAACGGATATGGTTTCATCAACAGGAATGACACTAAGGAAGATGTATTTGTACACCAGACTGCCATAAAGAAGAATAACCCCAGGACGTACCTTCGCAGTGTAGGAGATGGAGAGACTGTGAAGTTTGATGTTGTTGAAAGAGAAAAGGGTGCGGAGGGAGCAAATGTTACAGGTCCTGGTGGCGTTCCAGTGCAAGGCAGTAAATATGCAGCAGACTGTAACCATTATAGACGTTATCCACGTCGTAGGGGTCCTCCACGTAATTACCAGCAGAATTACCACAATAGTGAGAGTGGGGAGAAGAACGACGGATCGGAGAGTGCTTCCGAAGGCCAGGCCCAACAACGCCGGCCCTACCTCAGGAGACTGTTCCCACCTTATTACATGCGGGAGACCCTATGGGCGTCGACCACAGTATTCCAACCCTCCTGTGCAGGAAGAAGTGATGCAGGGTGCTGACAACCA